ACTTTTTTTAGGTTTTCATAGAATATTGTTAACCTCGTAATGGTTCTGAAGAACCAATGATCAGTAAATCACGTTCACAGCATCATCTTATCATACACAAAATTACTGCCATTTGCAGTCGCAGTAAATGGACCTCACTGAACAACTATAACCAGATAGAAAGACTGAAAGTTTTAAATCGCAGTTCTTGGGGGGTGTGCAAGACAATAAGCAGAGAATCAGTCTCCAAACCGAATCGCATCTTAGTCGATGATTACTTCAAATATCAAGCTGGGACATGTTTTGAAGCAGAAATTTTGTTGCTTTTCATGCGATGGATCCTTATAAGCTTTTGGAACTTGCTTAGGGATACTTGGCTGGCGAGTAAAATATGAAGTGTTCCTCGCATTTGGTCGTTTCTCACAGTTTTAAATATTTTTAAAAGATCTTATCGCCTTTTTAACTGAACAAAAAACTGACGATGCCAACAGGCGAAATTCAAACGCGTTTTGGTGTGCAGCGTTGAAATTAACGACAACCATCCCTCACCCCTCCTTCTCAACGCGGGTATTTTCAGTTTACATGGTTGAGTACCCACTAATTCTCATCGTATGTGTGCACTGTGTATGTGTTGTGTGTCTGTGTGTCCCGTGTGTTGTGCGGGGATATATGCGTGCGAGTGTGTGTATGTATGTGTGTGTGTGTCTTGTTTGTGGGTTATCATTAAGGTTCTCTCTGCTCACTGATAACATTGTTAGTATTGCAGCTTAAGCCTACGAAAAAGGTTGCCGTGGGGCAACGAATTAGCGGCAGCGCAGAAAGGATGCGGCGTCTTTTGTTGTTTGTGCCCAGGACTGGAGAACAATAATATTTGCTCTAGCGGAGAGAGAACAACTTCGACAAATCTACCAGGCTTATGCGCTGCTCCTTCTTATCAGCAGCAACTCGTATTAGCTAACGATAATAAAACTGGCAACTGACATACACACATATCACACACACACACACACACGCCACATACCACACGCACACACACCACACTTATACACACATGCATGCACAAAAGCAAGTATATCACTATGAAGTAACATCAGGAGCGATACGTGACTGGTAGCAAGTTAAACCATATTTTAGATAGCTAAATGAAATTTCGCGCTTATTTTTTTTTTTTAAAATTATAAACCATTTACAACGGAGAAGCCGTTCTTGGACATATGCTTTCCATTTCTTGAGGATTCTGATGTGTTTTTGCCTTCCTGGATATTGTTTACCAAACAGTTCACCAGTCAGGAGTCGTAGTGACTGGGCCAGCTATATCAGTCTACATGCAGTAGGTGCTAATACTAAAACTGAAACGTTCTTGTTTAGAATTATTACTCTAATTTATATCTTTTCTCGCGCTGTTTTGTTTTAAAATTATCACATCCTATATCGTCAGGTTTTGTAAATGAAGACCAGAAAGTACTGTTTATTTACTGGAACCGAGAAAAGGGTGCAATTTCCGCTTTGCAGCGTTTCTTTTTTGAAAAGTACGGTTGTTTTTAGGATGCCAAGATCAGTGGGTACGACTGAACAATGCATAGGTGTGGGTGGTTCTTCAGCCAGTAGCAGTGCACAACTGTAGCAGCCTTTTTTTCAAAAATAAAGCAGGTGTTTTTCCATGACGAAATACCGCATTCACAAAAATACTGCACTACACCAAGCGGTTACTACGATGTTTTCCAAGCGGAAGAGTCAAAACAATTAGAAAGCACGACGAAACGATTCATCAAGCAGCCAGAGAAAAAGAAAATACAAACTTCTTTTCTTTTCTCTTTGCTTCCGGAAGAATTCAATTAATGCAAAAAAAAAACCCATAATCACAGGCAGAATCCGCTTGGGCACATTTCCCAGACCTTTGAAGCAGAAGACGGGTAGATTTTGCCAGGCCCAGTCTTTTCCTGGTATCGTCGCATCATGGAATATTGGAAGTTGCACCAGTGATGAAAAGCTGTGTGCTGTCTTCTAGCTCTGCTAAAATATGCCTCTCGAAATATCAAAGACACTTGTGAAAAACACCTTTTCTGTTAATATGCGAGTAAAAAAAGAACATAGAAGTGCGTGAGGGCTAAATTTAAAATTTTTAGGACACATGTGGTCAGGGAACATCTTCGCAAAGTTTCAGTCTTTCAGCTTATGTGGTCCCCGAGCTTGCTTTCCCGCCAACAGATCCTTCACGTTTTCGTGCGTGAAGGCCGAGATGGCATGAACGTTCATTTTATGCCTCCGTTCTACATAGCTGTAGACTAAATTGCCATAGTTCCAGCTTTACAGTTTACGTATGTCTCGCGATCGAAGTAGCGGGCAAATATACACATACATACAAACACACAAAAACACACGCTGATGAATCCTCGAAAATATACGTTTTTTGCATAAAGCACATAAAAAGGGAGGCGAGAGTGGACTGAGGACAGGAAAGATGCTGGGAGCAATAGCAAAGCAAAGACTAGCTGTCCTTCGACCGGCAAAAACCTATTAATGAAGAAACGGATCGCAATAAAAATCGGTGGTTTGTAATCGGTATTTTAGGGCCTTGGTATAATGATTAGGATCGCCTGGGTTGTCGTCGTCACGCTGTCACAGCTAAAGCGCTTGGCATAACGGTGCAAAGTTCGGATCGCAAGCGGTCGAAGTCAGTTATTAGCAGCTGCATGTACTGACGAAATACTCCTCGTTCCCACAGTGGTCAGCAAATAAGTGTTGAAATGCGGGCTAACTTCGAACATTAAAAATTCCCCCTAACAAAAGAATTCTACGTTTTCTGCAAAGCGGTCAGAAATAATTTCTTTTTATAAGTGAATGCGCCAAACGAACGCGTGCACGCAATCCTGGACTTCTGTGACCTGCAGCTTTTTAGTACGTGAGCCACGTGTGTCTGGTGCAAAGTGGCAACTGACGATGAATGTAGAGACTGGTTACATCTCATTTGGGATCACTCGACGCTGAAGCGTGGCGTATGTTTATTTGGCGCAAAGGTGCTACCCTTGTTTAGTAGTTGTAATAGCTGCTGCTGCTACTGCTGCTGCGGCTTCTCACACCTAGTCACACCTGACTAATTGCCCATAACGCACAGAAGGGAGGGTATTGTGCGGTTGTCATCCTTTGATCTTTAGCAGCTCGAGTTTTTAGGGCATCGAGATAGGCCGCCATCGGATTGTTCCACTCATAAAACTTGCTAGATGTGATGAGAAGCAGCTGAAAGCTACAGAATCAGTCTTCTACGACGGCCGCCTACAGCTTTTCTTGCATCGTCCTATCAGCAAAGCTTTCTTCCCCGAACGACAAGCATCGCTGCATAATCCTCTTCCCCTGTGATGTTAACAATGATGGATGGTGCAACACAGCACAGAACAGCCATGCACCAGCGCTTCACAGAAACCCGACAAATTTTGCGCACGTGTATTCCGAACAGTGAAGGTCAGCGATAGGCCACACGCGCTCAAGTGCGTCTGTATATATGAGTGTTTGTAGGTGCATCCCGAAATTGCTAAGACGATTTGTTTTTACTCACTTGTTTTGAGCCAATACACGTACACTACTCAGTTTTTGTACGTTTTGCAAATAATGAGAGCGACCCAGCCTTTGTAACGAGCGCCTGTAACAGTGTTTAAGCACGAAGCACAAATCAATCAACAATTAATATCCGAAATCCCGAACCTTTACCTTTCCTGAATTTTACAGACATAGTTACGTAAATGTTGCTTTTCATTCCCTTTGCAAACGCTTGGCAAACGAATATGTTTCCCCCAGCTGCCATACATCAATAAGAAAACGTTTTTGTTAATGAATACTGACATATTTCAGCAGCGCAACGTGATTGCAGTCCGCGGTGTCATCGCCGCGGGAGTTGCTTCGAGGGATAAGAGAACGAGTCCTGGCGCCACGGAAGCAACTCTCCGTCTTCGCCCTCTTCTTCAAACAAATGAAAATATTTACGAATGTTAAAGACAACATCCAGCCTGGGACATTGTTTGATGATGATCTGACTTGACACTTTCATGTGCTGCTGCTGTTGCTTCTCTGCATAACGCGCAACAAAAAGCATTTTTCGAACTTGTGCTGCTGCCTCTGCTCCAACACATGCTGCTTAAGAAATAAGACTGTGAAAATACAGGTACCTTCGCATACAGTGGTTTCCCCCAATGGGAAAGAAGAGCGTGGTTAAGAGGCAATGGGAATAGCGGGGAAATAGCGCAAATTCATAAGAAAGGACAAAAAACTGGGGACGAGTGAAGGAAACAGTAATGAGGTCACAAATGCACCTCCTCCATGACT